AATATATTTTTTTCGTAAAATTTAAAAATGGTCATCGGACATGGTCGGCCGAACTTATCTGATAACACCCAATTGCGAAGGTTACGGAATCCTCCTCCATAGCTGATCCCCAGAGTTACCATATTTTTCGGATCATTGGCAATTTATGCCACATGTTTCTTAACCAGCTTTCACGGCTTCGTATTTAGACTGGCAGGAGCTGCGAATAGGGATGCCGCAAACTTTTTTAAGAATCGAAGTTTTGATGATCGAATCAAGCGGTTCGAAAGATTTCGATTTTTCTAACTTTTTACATCGTAGAATTCGACGGAAGTCGAATTTTCGAACTTGTTGAGCTAAGAAGTTTGACGGTTTTCGATCCGTCAAACTTATTACACTAAGAAATTCAATTTTTTCCGAACTTTCAAACTTATTGCGCGGCAAAGTTCGATGCTTGTCGAACTTCCGAACTTGACTGACCAAAAAATTCGATGAATTTTGAACTTAATTATCAAGAAAATTCGAAAAGTTTTGAACCCTGAAAAGTCAGAATATCGACGAACTTCAAACTTTTAGGGTAAAAGTTCGACGCTCGTCGAACTTCGAAAGTCCGGCAGACGAGTTCATTTGAATTCAAGTAGTGAGGTACATTCATAGTTTTTTTTTTTTTTTTCACAAACTTTTGCACGGGGTACTGCGTTCCTTACGAAAGACAATGGCATTTGTTTCAATGTTCTGGCATGCTTAGTTTTAAAGAAATAAATTTCTGAAGGGGCGAGGAAGGACGACGGGTTTTTGATGATTATCGCTTGTGCCAGTTTTAAAGCGCGCTGTAGCCGAAGCTATTTGTGGTAGAGGTGTTATACTTTTTTAAGTATGATCTATGTATAGCCTAGGTAAGTGCCGTCTTAAGCTGTGATTATTGTTATTCAACGCGAGTTTTGAAGAAATGTCCGAACATGTATCTACATGCAATTATGCCCTAAACTTGTTATTTATTTTCATCTCAGTTGTTTGAGGTATCGCATTTAAATTAACACCACAGAGAAAACATATCATTGCCATTTGCAGAATACAAAATAATGTATTTATTGTTTTTTCAAGTTAAGGAATAAATTAACTTAGTGTTTAAGTTCAGCACGTCATTAAAAGAAAACTTTTTTTTTTTTTTTTTTCGCTTCACGATTCTGGGATGTGTTTCTTTTAGCCTGTACACGTTTTGGTAAAAGAAACTTGTTTCGAAGTTCTGAACCTCTGAATACGCAAGAATACAACACTTCCGGCGAATTCTTGATAGTTTTTTTTTTCTCCAACTTTTTATTTCCGCATTTATTCTTTTTTTTTTTTTTTCTTTACTATTGGCACAGGTATTTAGGTCGAAAAGACATCGCTTTGAACTTCCGAACCACTAAGCATGTGACGAGTAGTGCCTTCTGACAACGAGTTTCTAACAATGACCATCTACGCAATCTTTTATGCAGTGAAGAGCGACAGTAGCTATACATATGCATAAATAATTTCAGATTAAAATAAGCTTGACCATGCCCTCTTTCCCCGTATTGTTTTCTTTAACAGTCCGAAATATCTGGAGGAGGGAAGGGAACTGAAGCCCCCCCCCCCCCCCCCCCCCCCCCTTGCTACCCTCTCACCCCCCGTTTTTCCTCTTCCGATGCCACTTGTATGGTAGAACGCTCCTCGACCTCGAGTTGTGTCGGCTTTTTGCGAGGCGATTCTTCCGTCCCAGAAAATAAACCTTCAGGACAATTACAAACTTAACTTACTATATGCCAGGGTCACTTGGGCGGCGTTCGATCAGATTACTATCAGCGTGCAAGGGTTGGCGAGGTAGTTTGCCAGGTCGCTTCAAGGTTTCTCCGAGCCTCAACCTCCTGCTCGTCCCTGGCCGTTTCGAACTGGATGAGTCTCGTAAAACAGTGTGTTCGTGCGATCACTACTGCATGATGCAAATTAAAGACCCTCCCACCCCGGGCTGGCGGTCACAATTACTGATCCATGGTCACACGTCACTCTGCACTGGCAAATATTCCAGCACATCCGGGACACTCTTCGTCTCATTTAATTGTCTGACCAACTTCGCAGAATCTAGATATCACACCCTAACTTTTCTAAACTTGATTTTGTGAAAACCAGTAAGTTGTGAAAACGTTATTTGAAACAAACTGTGGAGGAACTTGAAAACCGGACTTCGAACTTTCAAAACTTGGGCTAAAAAAAAAATTCAAAATCTTCAATTTTTTATTTTATTTTATTTATTTTTTTAATTTAGCGTTAAAAGATATTCAAAACCTCGAAAAAAATTCAAAATCTTTGAATTGTTCGAACTTCATGTCTACAAAAATTCGAAGCGTTCGAAGTTGTTAAATTTTGTTTCCAAAGAATTTCGAAATCTTTAAATTTATCAAACCTGGAAAAAAAAAAAAATCGAAATATTTGAATTTGAAATTTTAGAAACCGTGAAAGCTTTGAACTTTTCTAATTCGAAACTGCACTGTGATCGAAAGTTGCGAATTTTTCGAATTCGAACCTCGGTCGGTACGAAAATATCAAAATTTTTCGAAATTGAACCTCAGTTCGCTTCGCAAATATCGAAACCTTTCGAAATCGAACTTGGGGTGGTTCGCGACATCCCTAGCTGCAAATATGACTTGCTCGAGAAAGCTGGCGAGCGAACCTGCCGCGACCAATTTCTGTACAGCCGCTAGGTGCTGTCGATTTTGCAGAAGTAAACAATAGTTTGCACACAGTATGTAGCCTGCAGAGCATAATCCCCACACATAGGGCAGTCTGCTTCTTTATTTGCATACCCACGCTGCATCTATTCTTACAAGTTCCCCTCTCTCTAATTTGTGTCAACAGTTCTTTCAAAAGTTCCGCAGATGTTCACACTCTCACTTTCTATTCAATATCAAACTCTTTTGCAGCAATGCAGTTTGACAATAGCACTGGGCCCGACTTCCGATAGTGAACGATTCTGAAAAACAATTCATTATAGAGTCTACATTTGTAGATGGTCGGTCCGACATAGAATATAAACTTTGAAATGTGTACAGTTTGCAGACTATAGATCGGCAAATATGGTGCTTAACCTCAGTTTCCACTGACAAGAAGGAAAGATGTGGGGACAAAAAAAAAATGAAAAGAAGCAAGCTAGAAAAAGTGGCTTTTCTAACATCTGGATGCAAACTACTTTTCTGCAAAATATTATAATTCTACGTAATTGGTTAACTATAAAAACACACATCGACAATCCCGATTTGGTCCTTCTTGAACAGCAAGGCCCTTTAAGCTGTAGCACCTTGCAGCAGCTCTCCTCGTTAAAGACGGGAGGCAGTAGAAAACCATATGAATACACTCGTGTGTATTCGCACGGTTTCCTACTGACATGTGGGTCCTCTTTAGGCACTTAAAAATATGAACACTAGCTGGATCAGGCTGACAAAAAAGGAAGAGTACAGAATATTTTGCGAATGAGCTGGGCACATGCTATGTGTGATGTCATCCAACGTCACAATATCATGTGACAATATCATGTGATGTCAGAGTCATGTGACGACATAATCTCGTGAATATCACGGCATCATGTGACGTCGCATAAACTTAGGGTGTCACATAAGGTCACGTGATGTCAGGGTGTCAAGTGGCACCTCGATGACAGGGTGTCATGTGGCACCTAAATGTCAAGGACATATAAGCCAATGGGCCTTCCTGGCTTATACAATTTATATATGGCGTTAAACTAAGTGCAACGCTGAAGCATGCCAGTTTCCTCATAGAACTTTGCTGGTAAAACACGTTCTGCGTTAAATATCTTGGCGAGCTCAACATCCCTTTATAGGGTCCCTGAAAAGAAAAGAAAAAATGTTTTTTTTAAACAATCTGGTTGCGACACAAGTGTTAAAAAAATAATTTTACGCAAAAAAACAAGATCTTTAGAGCAATATTGTTGGCGCGACACGGAATTTAGTCGGTAGTGACCTCCTTTCCACTTGTTTTCTCTCCTGGCATTTCAGGCGCGTGAAGGAGAGGTGGATCGGCTTGCCATTACGTTGAGATTGAAAGAGCGAAAGACCATCTACATACTTGAGGTTGAAAAGACCAAATGACAATTCCGTGACTCCATGATTTTTGCATGGAGAATTTCAAATAAACCTCTTGCCATCAATATTGCTTTAAAAATTTTTTTTCTTTTTTCGCGTAAAATTAATTTTTTTGACACGAGTGTCCCAACTAAACTGTTTAAAAAAAAGAAACATTTTTCTTTCTCTTAAGGGTTTTTTAAAGGGAGACTGACAGGGTATTTATGTTCGCCAAGATTTTTATTTTTACATGACACATTAGAGCCTAACTACCGAGAACATACCTTTCGGCTTGAAATTCGTTTTGTTTCCGCCTGAAAACCGCCGATCGAGAACTGGCCGGTTTGAGTCACACTCACTTTTTTCCCTGGTCACATGCTGTTTTATGGTTTAAACAGAACTACCAAAGAGAATCAAAGTCGTGGGCCATCAAGGGAATGCACTCTATACTAAAAATAGACAGAAAATATGATACCCATTTTTTGTGGCTTCTAAAAACTGCAAATACATTGATTGAAAAGAAGAAAAAAAAAGAAAAGAAGTTGCACAACCACATGATTTTCGGCAACGATCTCCTCCTCTTTATTTCTTCTTCCTCCCTAGTCCAGTTTCGGTTTCCAGCAGTTACATTTTTGTACTTCATAAAATATATGTGTGATGTTGTAGCAAAATATTGATTGCGTAGTCTTCTGACACAACGTTCAATCACCTGAAAAAATATTTTAAAAAATTTTTTTTTGTGGGGGAGGGGGGGGGGGGGGGGTGTCAATTTTTTTTTAAGGCAAATGTGCCTCCCCCCCCTCCCGCCTCCGCCCCGCCCTTCCCCCCCCCCCCCCCCCCCTGCCCACTTCCCGTCCCCCGGCGTCAAAGGAGCCTGTTCGGCAACGTAGCAACGTAGAAGTGAGAAGGACAGGGTGCACTTACATGTCCATGTGTCCCATGGCGTGGGCCACCTGGCGGTACACCTCCCCGAAGCGTGAGCGGTCCTTCAGCAGGGACGGCCGCTCCACGAAGGCGAACCCGTGCGGCCGCTTCAGGCTCTTGCACAGGGTGCCACTGGAACCGTGGGCAAGAAAGGGTAAGCGCCGAGGAGAAAGGGCCTCGCCTTTAAGAGCGCAGACTATTCAAGGATGCATCTATGGCCACTGACAGGAGGATAACGGCACGGAGGAGCTTCGGTTCTTCCGCCTCCTGCGCGAGATTCCTAGCTCCGACAACGCCGAAGCTTTGCTTTGACAATGCGGTCAAAGCACAGCGGAACACATGGAACAGATGCTGGGGGCCGGACGTTCGGAAGACACGGCCTGCAAATTTTACTCTGTCGGCGACTCTAATATATCGCACTTCCTCCCGAAGACAAAATGGTGGAAGAAAGCACGAGGGATGGATGCCCAGAACTTCCTTCGTCACTCTTCTCTGCTTTGTCCTTTCTTTAATGTTTTATAAACACGCTCGGTTTACCCTTCTCCCTGCAGGCGGGAGGTAGCACAGTTACGAGCCAGAACGGCGAAAACACGAGCGGACAAACCGACTGATGGGGCCGTCTGTTCGCTTTGGACGTTTGTACTTCTTGCACAAATTAGAGGAAGCATGTGAGGCGGTAATACATACTTTAAGGATGCATCGACTGCCGCACGAAGCATTTTTAATTCCAATGATGTTCAATAAAATTCAGCTTTTTTTTTTTTTTTTTTTCTTTGAAGAACAAGAGAGGACGGAATGCTGTTAGTTTTGGAAGTGCGTCCTGAATAGTCATTGCACGACCACCACGACGATACACTGAAGTATTTGTTGAGGTCACTTCGGCACAAACACCAAGCTGGCTGCTCTAACCTTACTAATATCCTTACCAATCCTTCGCAATTTTTTTTTTTTTTTTTTTTTAATTTAGGCATTTAGCCAGAACGAGCAATATTGCAAATTTAGGGTGTCTAGTAAATTATTATTTTGAAATTCCCGGCTTTTCCAGGTTTTCCCTGACCATTTCAGGTGAAATTTCCCGACCACTGTAGAGGCGGTTAAGTATATAAGACCCTTACAACACAAGGCATTGAGCATTCGGCACTGTGAGCATCATTTTGCACGGATTTAATCCAACCTGCATATTCCGAAATAGTCGGGTTTGTCCAGTTTTTGGCTCACGATGGCGTTTCGAGCTCATTTTCCCTGACTGAGCTCGCCTTTTGACAATATCCCAGATTTTTCCCGGTAATTAAAATTTCCCTGAGAATTCCCGGCTTTCTTGGTCACTAGACACCTTAAAACTACATTTTCCACGTGCTCAAATAAGGGGTTTGAAATTTACCAGCTTTAAACTGAGAAGTGTGTAAAGAAAACATAGCTGCTGAGCGAAACTCAACTTCAAATTAGCAATTAAAAAAAAAAAAAAATACAAGCAGCATTAACCCCTTAAAGGGACACTGACACCCCCCAAAATTTGTTTTAAATTTTTTGCCAGGCGCTTTATTATGGTGTCGGAGGACTACCCAATTAATATTTTGCAACAGAGTAGCGTATTTTTTTAATAAAGCCAAAAGACGCAACTGCTCGAAACCGAAACCCGACGGAGGTCGGAGAAGTGGAGAGAAGAGAGCGAGTGGCGGAAGTCACGTGGCTACACCCGACGTGTGTTTTTTTGTTGTTTTTTTCTCCTTCCCGGTAGCAGACGACATGCGGCGTACGGGAACTGTTCGCCGTGGGATTCTTTTGCAGTTATGTATGTTCCGCTCGTTGTTCTGTACTCCAAGATGAGTTGTTTTGTATATTGAGGAGTTGGAGATGAGTAGTGAGTGCCCGTGGTGAATTTTGATTGGCTCCGAAAAGAATACACCCAAGATGTTGCGTGAAGAGCTGGCTCACATGTCCTGCGTCCGAAACAGAAGTGGCATTGTGCGACAGAGTTTCCGAAAGATCAACGGGATCAGAACCAATGGCAGGCTGCAATTCCTGTAGACCATTTACAAGCACCTCGGAAAGCGGACGTTACCTGATTTATATGCTCCTTGCATCTTGTGGAAAGTGATTACATTGAGTTCGCAGGTGTCAAAAAGGAAATCCCATACCATTTAATTCAGCGACGTGTCGTCCACAACATTTGCTTCTTTTTTTTTTTTTTTTGTTTCTTCAGTGATAATTTTAACAAAAGAAAAGAAATGTAGACATCAAAAAACATATGGAAAAAAAAAAAAAAAAAAGTTCCACGGGGGATTGAACTTGATTTTTTCCCACTAAGCTACTGGGGCATATTGAAAGTACGGGATCTCTTTCCTTAGTAATAATTCAGCCGATAAACTGTAAGTTGGAAAGTTTGCTACCGATTTTCCTTTAGCAAAAGCACTCCCGGGTCGAAGTCGGGATGCACCCCGCATTGGCGAAATTCTCACCTTGTAAAGAAATCGTACGCGTGCATATTCAACTCGAAGTAGACACGTCGTGCTTGACGTTTGCGCGAGCGATGCAGTGATGTGATTGGCCTAAGCCGTTTTGGAGCACCTTTTGGAGCAGCCAAAAGGGTGTTTTGGAGCAGCAAAATTGGCCTTTGGAGCAGCCAGAACAGTGTTTTGGAGCAGCAAAAGTGGCTTTTGGAGCAGCCAAAACAGTGTTTCGGAGCAGCAAAAGTGGCTTTTGGAGCAGATATTCTTAGAAAAATAAACATATTTTCGTTTTAAGTGCTGGACGAACGAAGGACACCTCGCTCGCCGCAATAAACAAATTATGGTCAAGTTAGACCACCTGGGAGTCTTTCAACATGTAACTGAAATGCCAATGACATGACACATTTTGCAATGCTTTCGTTAAATTATATATATATATGTACCGCTATAGATAAAAAAGAAACAAACAGCACATATTAAAATTTATTTGAAAATGACCAGCTTATTAGTAAATATCACAGCATTAGGTCGACTACCATAGTTATATGATATAATAAATGGAAGCTGTCTCCAACTGATGATACACGTAACTACTGCAGTGCAATACGAAATTGTACACAAGACAAAGGTGCATTAAGACTAGTGGGTGCTTTTCTTTTTGCCTTCCGAAAGTTTCAACAACGCTGCTGCAAGCCTCACTTTGCCTGTGGCTAGTAATGAATTCCCACTTTCAATGTCTTTAAAGAGACATTGAGACATCCCACAAGTGAACAGTGCTGTGGGCGTTGCCGAGCAATTCCGAAAAACCGCTTGACACCATTTTACTGGTTCCCGACGTGCCAGATTTTCGTCAAAAGTAAGCAAACGTAAAACAATGGGTTGCAAGCGTCTCGGCTAGTGCTTCTGTCGTGCAGTCATGTTCGCATGCACATGAAGGCAACTTCGGCAGGCTTGCATTTGCACGTGCTTCGTCGCGCGAGCGGAGATGGCTGTTCGATCGAAACAGACACCATGCCACTCCGCTCCGTCGCCAACTGGTTCCCAAAATTGTATGCAAAGTGTAATTGTCCAGCATACGACAAAAAGCTGTCCAGCGGCACGTGCTTGCCAGGCCGGCAGGCGAGGCACAATCGAAACACACAGAAAAAAAGAACCTGAGCGAGTCAGGTCAAAACAAGACATCGCGAGTCAGGGTCAAAAAGTACTTGGAGCGCTTTGTACAATGACTGAGGCACTGAAGCGTCAACACACGCCCGCGTCAATCGTTGATTTTTTTTTTTTTTTTTTTTTTTAAGGCGCGATCGACGAGACACATTAACGACGAGAGCGTGAAACGAGAGGTGGCAGGAAAAACTATGCAGCCCGGATGGACGATTGATAGAGGGTAGTACTTTTTGTTGGGCAGCCGCTTGCGCTACCTAGCTCACACATGCTCAATTACGGTACTCAGTTTAGTTCCGGTTTCGAAAGACGACCAAAATTGGTCTTTTGGCGCAGGCTTGGCGCAGTTTACCCATATTTTGGCAAAATGTAGCAGAATGTAGCAGGGTTAGCCCCTTGGCGCAGTTTGGCGCAATTGGCGCAGCAATCACATCACTGGCGATGTCTTCAGCCACGAGAAGGGAGCGACGGCTCGGCGACGTCTTCGTGCAAATCAGCTTGGTGGTCGGGCGTGTCGTACGGGATGAAGACCAATTCTTTTGATCAGTCCCAAATTTCTCTTTTTAAGGCAGACAAAATTCTCCGGTACCGCGAACGACAGTTCTGAAATAGAGGTCTCACGCCCGTCGTCCGCTGCCATCGCGTCCCTGCGAGTCCCACGATCAAGGAGGTTAGAAGTACTAGGAGGGGGCACGTTGCAATATTGGTGAAGCCTAGTCATAAAAAGTTTAAACGATTTTGTGCCCAACGTGACCGCAGATCTCTCTGGCGATTGGTGCACGTGACATGTCACGTGTGAGATGGATGGTTGATTGTAGAAGAACTCCTTGCAGGCTTGCGCGCGCTGCGTCCGGTAGGTTTTATCAGGTTGAAGTCTAGACTGTGGTGTATTCTAGTACCCCCCCGCAAGACGAAGTCTAGCTACGGTCACGTGATGTGGTCACGTTGGCATGGTAAGTGAGGAGAGTAAGGAGGAAAATGAGAAAGAGGCGAGGCGTCAAGGGAGCATGGCTTGTGGAGGCTACGCGGCCGACGTCATGCCCTCTCCTACCCTTCTATTCTCCATGCCCACGATACGCGAAACGACGCACGCACAGAATGCTTCCGGTTGTCTGTGAAACTTTTTTTTCAATCAACGTATTTGCAGCTTTTTAGAAGCCACAAAAAATGGGTTTCATATTTTTTTCTATTTTTAATATTGAGTGTGTGCCTTCAGTGACCCACGACTTTGATTAAATTTGGTGGTCGCATCGATACCTTAGAAAACGGCCCGTGACCGCGGAAAAGAGAGTGAGCGAGACTCGAACCGGCCAGTTCTTGATCGGCGGTTTTTGGGCAGAAAGAAACCGAATTTCGAGCCGCAAATTCTGTTCTGGGTAGTTGAGCTCTCAAATGTCACGTACAACTAAAAACCTCGGCGAGCATAAATACCCTGTCAGTGTCCCTTTAAGGGAAGCTACGGAGCTTCTTGGAAAAAATGAGTTAGAAGTGAATTCTAGTGTATTTTTACCCCGTGAACCC